TACGTCTCCTAGGGTAAGGGAAATAAAGAAAAAAATAAACAAATGAGACTACATTAAACTAAAAAGTTTCTGCACAGCTAAAGAAACCATCAACGAAATTAAAAGGGAACCCACATATGGTGCCACAAAGCAGTGAAGCGGGTTGCCCTACCCTGGTGAATACCTGACTCCACCTCTTACAACGTAATAGGAGCACCAAGACAGAGAGTTAAAGCAGCTCTACCTAATGTACAGAAACAAACACTGGGAGGCTGCTAAATTGAAGAGACAAAGAAATACGGCCCAAATGAAAGAACAGATTAAAACTCCAGAAAAAGAACTAAGCAAAATGGAGATAGCCAACCTATCAGATGCGGAGTTCAAAACATTGGTGATAAGGATGCTCAGAGAACTCTTTGAGTACAGCAAATGTGTAAAGGAAGAAATGAAGGCTACACTAACGGAAATACAGAAAAATCCACAGGGAACCAACAGTAAAGGGAAGGAAGCTAGGGTTCAAATCAACAATGTGGAACATAAGGAAGCAATACACAGTGAACCAGTACAGAACAAAGAAACAAGAATTCAAAAAAAATGAGGAGAGAAGACAACGAATCTGGGATACCTCCAAAAGTGCCAACATCTAAACTATAGGGAGACCATAAGGAAAAGAGTAAGAGCAAGAAACTGAAAACTTATTTGAAAAAATAATGAATGAAAACTTCCCTAATTTGGCTAATGAAACAGACATACAAGTCCAGGAAGCAGAGAGAGTCCCAAACAAGTTGGGCCCACAGAGAACGACACCAAGACACATCACTAATATGCCAAAGGTTAAAGACAGAGAATCTAAAAAGCAGCCAGCAAAAAGCAGAAGGTTACCTACAAAGACATTCTCATAAGACTATCAGCTGATTTCTCAAAAGAAACCTTGTAGGCAAGAAGGATTCAGTCATGAAAGGCAAGGACCTACATCTAAGATTACTCTATCCAGCAAAGCTATCATTTAGAATGGAGGGCAGATAAACTGCTTCCCAGACAAGGTAAAGTTAAAGGAGTTCATCATCCCCAAGCCCTTATTATATGAAATGTTAAAGGGACTTATCTAAGAAAAAGAAGATCAAACTATGAATAGTAAAGTGACAACAAATCACAACTATCAACAACTGAATCTAACAACCAAAAACAAAAACAAACTAAGCAAACAACTAGAACAGGAGCACAATCATAGATATGGAGGTCATACAGAAGATTATCAGTGGGGAGGGAAAAGGAGGAGAATGGGAGAAAAGGTACAGGGATTAAGAAGCACAATTGGCAGATACAAAATAGACAGGGATATGTTAAGAACAGTATAGGAAATGGAAAAGCCAAAAAACTTATATGCGTGACTCATGAACATGAACTAAGGTGGGGGACTGCAGAAGGGAAGGGTGTTACCAGGTAGAAGGGGGCAAACTGGAACAAATGTCATGGCATAATCAATAAAATATACTTTAAAAAGAAAAAGAAAAGGGAGCCCACTGTATGGAAAAACATATTCACCAATGATACATAGAATAAAGGATTAATTTCCAAAATATATAAAACTTATACTAAAACACCAAAAGACAATCCAATTAAAAAATGGGCAAAGGACCTAAATAGATACTTCTCCAAAGAGGAAATATGGATGGCCAACAGACATATGAACAAATGCCCAACATCACTAATCATCAGAGAGATGCAAATTAAAACTACAATGAGATATCACCTCACATCTGCCAGAATGACTACCATCAATAACAAACAACAAGTGCTGCTGAAGAGGTGGATGAAAAGGAAACCTAGTGCACTGTTGGTGGGAATGCAGTCTGGTGCTGCTACTGTGGAAAACAGTGTGGAGTTTCCTCAAAAAATTAAAAATGGAACCAACTTTTTACCCCATAATCCCACCTCTAGGAATATATTCTAAGATTCCTGAAATACCAACTTAAATCAATATATGCACCCTTATGTGCAAAGCCAAGATCTGGAAACAGCTCAAGTGTCCATTAGTAGATGAGTGGCTAAAAAAGCTGTGGTATATTTACATAATGGAATACTACGAAGCCACAAAAAAGAAGGAAATCTTACCTTTTGTGACAGCATGAATGGACCTGGAGAATATTATACTAAGTGAAATAAGCCAGTCAGAGAAAAGACAAATACCATATCATCTTATGTATATGTGGAATCTAATGAACAAAATAAACTGACAAACTAGAAACAGAGTCATGGACACATGGGACAGGTTAATACCTGTCAGAAGGGAGGGTAAAGGAGGAACTGGATGAAAGAAGGTAAAAAGATTAGCCAAAAAACATGTATGTGTAACTCATAGATACAGAAAACAGTGTGGTAATGGCAAGAGGGAAGGGGGCAGCAAGGAATGGGTAGAGCAGGTAAAGGGGGAAGGGGGAAATGGGGACATCTGTATTAGTGTCAACAATAAAAATAAAAGGAAAAAAACCCAATGCATATCAGAAACACCATCCTTATTTATAATAACTGATACAAAAAATAAGCACAGGCAATTCAAACTTCTGAACCACACCATCCAATGTGGGAAACAATGGCTGTGTGACTAAATTTAAATGAATTACAATCCAATTAAAAATTTACTTCTTCAGGTGTACCTGACACATCTGAAGCACTCAATAGGCACAGTTGCTCAGTAGCTATCTCATTGGTCACAACTGCTCTAAACAATGAGAAAATTAAGAGAAAAAAGGTTGAATTACTGGAATTAAACCCGAGGCTGTATCAGATGCAAACTATTAAGGCACCTGTGCAATATCACAGAGCACAAAGGCAATAATCTGGACAACTTTAATCTTGGACTGGGTTCAAATCCCAGATATGCCACTATGTATACACAGGATCCTGGATATGTCACTTAAAATCACAGGCAGCACAGTATAATGGTTAAGAGCACATAATCTCCTGACTACTCTGATTTGAATTCCACCTCTTACTAGCTGCGGAACATTGGGCAAGTTACTTCACTTCTCTCATTTGTTATCTTTAGTAGGTAGTACTTAACACTTACAGACATCAACGACTAAATATTTGTAAAAGCACTTATTGAATAGAATAATACCCAGCATTTCTAAGTGCTATAGAAATATGTGCCTAACAAAATAATTTCTCAAGCTTCTATCCTCAGTTTCAAAATGGGCAAGACAAAACTTGCTCTGCTTATTTCAAGGGTGTTATGATTACAAATTTGAAAAGTTTATAAATTACAAGAATATGTAAAAGCACAAAAGGAAAGAGGCAGAGACCTTATTTTCCATCTTTCATTTCCCACCATACCCATAAAATTGCTGTGCTAACAGCAGACTTTTTAATAAAAGTTTGTATTTTTTATTAAAACTGGAGCATCACTCTCTAGAATCATAAAGAAGTAAATCTGAATAAGATGCAGAGTACTTACTGGGGGAAAAAAACAACAAAAAAACCCTACTATAAATTTACTCTGTTCCAAATACGGTAGAGATTAGTACGTACCACAATTTGAGCTCTGAAGGAACAATATATTACATACTATAATAAAAACAGCCGACTTTCCAAGACTTTTATCCATTACAGTGAGTCTCCATCACCTAATTCTCACCCTTTAAAGAAACAAATAAGTACACTATAACTTCTGTAAAGTTATCTATTTTCATTTGTCATAGGCACGTATTTGTGGGGAAAAACAAGTTTTGTTCAAGTTCAAAATTAGCAGGTAGGATAAATAGGCTGCTAATTTGCCTAATATCCTCATTCATAAACTGGAAACAAGAATAAACAGTAAACACTAGGAATCTCATTTAAAATCCTCATGGAGACCCTTTTCTTATTTGTGAACATAACCTGCAGGGGGTGAAAATCTAAAGGCCATTTAATGAAAATGTAAACCAACACCTGATCAACTGCTCAAATGCAATTTGTGATGCCACCAAGGTACAAAACAAGAGTAGCCAGCACAAGCAAAATGGGAATTGTCTTTTGTTAAAATAAATGCCAAAAGTGCCAAAGCTGTTACCGTCTCCCATGGCAAATTGGATGCCAAATTCTTTCTAGAAGTTGTGGTTTCTGTGAGATAATGGGGCGGCAAAAACAGGGAAAACAAGACAACAAAAGGAAGCAGAAAAGGCCCCATTTTGGAGTCACTAGAAAATACTGCTGGCTTGCTTCAACAATGTTTTCAAAAACTTCATTATAAGCCATACGTTTTTGGTGGTGGTGGGGAGTAAGCACAAAGTAGCCGAGAGAAATTAAAAGATGACCAGACTCAAAGAATGAATTGCACGGGCCCTTAAAATTCATGTGGCTCAAAACCGCAGTAACAAAAAGCTCTCCCATCTGGAGCATGGGACACAACAGAACTATAAATAAGGGGTATCGGAAAACAAAAAAGTGGGAGAAAAGTAATCAGAAAGGTACAGGCCGGTGGTCCGTTCCAGAGGGTTCACGGGGACGTTCGCCAGCCCGCCAGTCCCTCCATCCCTTTTTCTTTTCCCATCCCAGCTCCGGAAAAATCGCGCACGCGCAGCAACTAGGGGCTGCGCGTGGCGACGCGCAGGCGTAAAGTGGGGGAGAAACAATGAGCTTTGTTGCCAGGCGGCCCGGGGGGCAGAGGAAAAGGGTACCGGAGGGATGTGTTCGAAGGGACTGGAGGGGGCGGGGGGTGCAGAACGCAAGAAAGTGCCATCCCGGCAACCCCCGCGCGCCACAGAGGACCCGGATAAAGTGCAGAGAGCTCCAAATCATAAATAATAATGACAATGAGAAAAAAAACGACGGCCATTTCTTAGAGTAAAAAGAGAGTAAGTCAGTTCAAGCTATCCCTCACACGCGGCTGAAATAAGCAAATAATAATAAAGATGATACAGGGCTAGGTAACCAACAACCCAGGGGATCCTCTAGGCCCCTCAGCCGTCGCCGAGGTAGGGTCCCTCGATCGCCAGTGCCGTCACACCCTTCTCGCCGCTCCGCCCGAGGGAATCCCTCACCCAGTGCACGGCAGCGGGGACGGCAGCCAACGAATCCGGTCGGCCTCCGCGGATCTCCACAGGCAGCGCCGCTCCCCCGCTCGACGCGCGCTTCGCCCGTCGCCTCCCTGCTCCAGTCCAAACAAACACCCCAGCCCGGAAGTGACTTAACTTCCGCCGCCGAGGGCCCCGCCCTCCCGTTCTGTCAACGCTGCCCACCGAAGCCACTAGAGAGCGCGTGAGAGAACGCGCGGCCTCGAAATTTTCTCTCCCAGGCTGCACAAGTGTGCATGCGCAACAGCCCTTCCAGCGTACCCTGACGGCCGTGGGGTAAATTGGGAGACCTGAGAGACCCTGCCCCCGCCCGTCTTTCAGTAAAGAAAGGATGCAGTGAGGGGAAGGTGGGGACTGAAGTCCTTGAAAAGATACACGGACTTGGACTCATCTTCCTGCAGACTAAATGTAAAATGCAGGGAGGGGCAAAAGTAGGTATACAGTTGTAAATACGCGAAAGTTTTTTCTTGTATCATTTATAATTAACCTACTTTTGTTCACCCCTGAATGTAGATCTTCTGACTGAAATACTCTACAGGCCTGTCCAAAGACACTGGACACATATATAAAGACGTAAGGATATTCGTAGCTATGTTACAATAAAAAGCAGGTAAAAACCTATCAACAATTGGTTAAATGAATTTTTAAGTTATTAAAGATGTATATTGATGTGAAATGGTATCCATACATTTTTAAAAAGTAGGCTGCAAAACAGCATTTACAATGTAAAATTATATATAGGCATGTGTGGGTATAAATGCAAATATATGATAGAATAGCAATATCTATAGGTGGTCAGGTCTTGAAGGATTTACTGTCCCCTGTATATATTTTCTGAATCTCTATGAAAGCTTGAATTGAATTTATAAGAAAAAAATCACACCTGAAATGGTCTAACACATTTCTGTAGTAATTTGGTTATAGCCTTGTCCCTGTGCTCACTTGTATCATGTACAGAATATGTACACCTCAGCATTACAGTCTTGCGTAACGGCCTAGCACTTGTGCGGTGAAGCAATGGTCCCTGTTCTGGATGTTTATAATTCAACAAACTTTGAATGCATTCTATGTGCCAGCAGTTACAGACACTGAGGATACACAAGAGTAAGTGGCATAATCTTTTCCTAGAAAAGCTATAATAAACCTTAAATAAGATACCACCTCATGTCTACTATCAAATAAACAAATACCGGTGAGGATGTGAAATTGGAACTCTTGTGCATTGCTGGTAGGAATGTAAAATGGTACAGCTGCTATGGAAAACAGTATGGGGTGCCTCAAAAAATTAAAAAGTACATTACCCAGCAGTTCTACTACTGTGTAGAATTCACAAAAACTGGGAAGGAGGGTCTTGAGGAGGCATTTTTGTACATACACGTTGATAGTAGCGTTACTGGCAGTAATTCAATCATGGCAGCAAACCGAGTCCATCAATGGATGAATAAGCAAATGTGGTATATGAGGTCTGTCTGGAAAAACCCCGCCATTGTAACGAGAACAGTTTGCATGACATAGATGTAACCTGGCAGTCAAGGAGAGCTGACTGGAATGTGCATGCATGGACGACTTCAGACTTCATTGTACTAGTCAGTGGGGGTGGCAGACGCCTCGACTGAGCATGTGTACTGTGTGGTTGTGGCATTCACAATGACTAACGGCAACGAATCTTTAACAACTTTGGGTAAGCTTGAACGTTTCTCTACGCAAACTATTGATTCAGAGAACTGCAGGTATGGACAAATGGTGATTGGCAGCTTCATGACGACACTCTCACTCATGCATCACATCGGGGTTTTTTTGTGAAACATCCAATCGCCTAGGTGACTCAGCCCCACTACATTCCAGATTTGGTGCCCTGTGCCTTCTGCCTTTTCCCAAAACTAAAATCACCTTTGAAAGGAAAAGTTTTCAGACCATTGGTAAGATTGTGGAAAATACAGCGGGGCAGCTGATGGTGATTGGGAGAACTGTGTGAGGCACCAACATGTCTACTTTCAAGGGGACTGAGGCTTCATTGACCTATGAACAATGTTTCTTGTAACTTCTTCAGTCTTTCATATTACCTGGCTGGATACCTTATGGACAGACCTTATATACATACAATGGAGTGTTATTATTCAGCTTTTAAGGAATTCTACAATATGTGACTTACATCACATTAAGTGAAGTCACAGAAGACAAAAGCTTTGATTCCACTTATATGAGGTAGTAACAATCATAAAGAAATGATGGTTGTGAAAGGCTAGAGTTGTTGAATGGATATAGTTTGTATTACAAGATGAAGTTATGGGGATGGTGATGATCACACAGTATTATTCTATTACCAGTTAAAAAAGATAAAACCCAAAACAAAAAACTTGTCTAATAGGTTAAGGTTTTAGCAGAAGGGTGATGTGTGCCTACATGTGTGCAGTACTAGAGGGTATAGGCAATTCCTTTTCTCACAGCTGCCTAAAATGAGTTGTATACACTTAGTGCTTCTGAGCTGAAGTAGCCAGGATCAGGAAAATGAATTAAGAGGTATCATTGAGTTTCAGCATCTCTTACACTAAAAATCCCAGCTCTTCTCCCCCAGGAACTCATCACACCACAAGACACTTTCCAGTTTTTGTAAGAAATCAGATTCTGGGACACTGCCCCTGAAATCATAAAATATTAGGATGTCCTACCCAAGTAGGCATGCTATTTTTTGGTCTACTACACCCAACGGATTGCCCCTTTTCCTTTTCATACATTTGGCTTTTACAGGGCTCAAATTCTGCGGAAATTATAAAAATTTCTAAGAACTCTAGTTCAAGGAAAGGCCAGGGCTAAAAATTTTAAGACAAATCCTTTTAAGTCTTTAAAAATTACCTTGAGTCTTCTCATTCAAAAATTTTCTAAGTAATTGGTTATTTCTTCAAAGATTTGCCTAAGTAATATTTTTTTTTAAAAGAAAGGAAATCTGCATATTTAACCAGGAGGGAGGGGAAAGAGCCATGCATTTTTCAGGAACTTTCTATTGAGATGGTATGTGAGGGAATTTTGGGGACAGCAACCACTGGAAAGCAGAAATGTAGCGTTTCTAAAATTTACACACAGCACCAGAACATTCTTCCTGCCTTTGATGGTCCTCAAGGGAGCATCTGAACTACCCTTAATTACCTAACTCAACTCCCCAGAGACTGGGACACATGGGACCCAATAACCACGTCATATGAAGCACTTTGAGTTCAGTGTCTGAGAAACACCAATTTTTCTTTCGGCTATTAATTACCCCAAGTGTTTGATGATCAACCTCAAAACCTGGATCCCAAGTCTTTCCCACATAGAAACCCAACTCTGCCTGTGACTTGCTTGGGCTTCATTCCATGTACTGAGGTGTTGGATACCCTCTGAAGGCAGCGGCTCCTGGCCAGACCACAGCACTGGCAAATGGCACATTAGAGCCTTGAGCAGCTGGGGGACAGTTCCCAAATGCTGATGGATAGAGCCCAACTGTCGGGAAACCAAGCACAGCCTCAAGACACATTAATTTATCCCAGGAGGCAAAAGTGACAATACTTTAATCAAACCCTGGCCAGTATTCAATCAGCAAATTAACTGTACCTGAGTGATGAGAGGTAGTTATTTACATCTTACTGTTCACTTGAAACTTTAAGAAACTATCAACCCTTTTCCTTAGCTCCTATGTTGTGATTACGAGTGGTATGACAGTAGAAAGGGAAAAACCTAAAGGAAAAACCTCTGGCCAGGCAAAATAGTGAATTACTAAGACTTCATTGTTTCTACTCCTTCCTTGAATGTCTAACTGCACCAGGTCCCCAGAAAATTACTTTTTAAATAGCCTGAGCAAAAACAAAAAAAAAAAACTTAAAAAAGCAACATTTAGTGTTATAAAATGGGGTGATTTTTAATAAAATGCTTTGCCCAGGCCCCCAAATGGTGATTATTTTTGTTTCCTTTAGTTTCATATTTGGAATAGTAAAACCAGCTACGTTAACAGTTATCTGAACCAGACATCTGATCCCAAGAGCCTAGCAAGAACACTTCTTCAACTATAGGTAAACCGATTTCCTCAAGTGTGGTCTCTGTCCTTAATGTCACTATCCACTAATTTGTTAAAAATGCAAATTAAGACCTACCTGACACCTAACACATCGGAAATTCTAGGCACAGGGCCCAGCAATGTTTCTAAAAAGGTTCCACATAATATCGACAAATGCTAGTATTTGAGAACCACTAGTATAAAGGAAAAATATTTCAGCCCTACCCTTGATATTCATAGGACAGGAATCTCAGTGAAGGGACACTTTAACCCCAGCTCAACAACAGCTGAGGTTCTTTGCCAGGCACTACAATTTTAAACTCATTACAATCCAATACTTGAGCTTTCAGCTATACTAAGCCATATTTTATGGAGCAGAGCTGCCCTGAGCACTACTGCAAGTCACCTTGAACAGCCTATAGACTTTTTTTTAAAACTAATCTGATTCTTAAAAAATGTTTTGCTGTGTTCCTGCAGATTTCTATTACACACCTATAAGCCTATTTATTTTACTGTTTCAGACACTGAAAATCCATTATGAACAAAGCCAGGTAAAAAAATGTATACTCTCCTGCTTTCACCACCTTAACACCTCCCATTATACTTAGTGTTTCTAAGTTTCCCTCAACTGGGTTAAGATTAAACTGAAGGCTAAAACAGAGGTGGAAAAAACTTTCTTAAACTCTACAGCAGCCCTGGCTGGTGTGGCTTAGTGGACTGGGTGCCAGAATGTGAACAGAAAGTTATTGGTGTGATTCCCAGCTGCAGGCATCCCCAACTGGAGGCATGCGAGAGGCAACTAACTGATCAACATCTCTTTCCCACTGAGGTCCCTCTCCTTTTTTCTCCCTCCCTTCCCCTCTAAAGATAAATAAAATCTTTAAAAAATAAATAAATAAGACTTTACAGCAGATTTAAGTAAAAACATTCCTACTAAATAAAGGTTTGCCATAATCTGGTAAAGAGTTGTTACTGTTTTATTTATCACTAGCAGTTTATGAGAATTTCTGCTTTCTAAATGCTCTCAAATGAAGATATTAAACATTTTCTACAACTCGGTACTTTGACAAGTAGGACCTATGGGGGAAAAAGCTATCATTGACAGCAAACAATTAGGAATGCCATTATACACATAAAGCTTTGTGTTGTTGCTGTTAGTCAAAAGTTGGAATTAAACTAAAGTAGGTAATTAGTAAAGACTACAATTAAGCTGAAGAAGTAAACTGGCAAGGATTTTTTGTGCATGTTACATTAAAAAATTATCACATGATCTTCAGAGGTAATTACACCTTAAAATTCTATCCAACTACTTGACATTTCCTTTAATACACTTGGACCTAAGAGTTTAAAAACAGAATTACTGTAGCCCTGGCTGGTGTGGCTCAGTCAGTCAGTGTTGGCCTGTGAACTGAAAGGTCACTGGTTTGATTCCCTGCCAGAGCACAAGCCTGGGTCGTGGATTCGGTCCCCCATCAGGGCTTGTTTGGGAGGCAACTAATCAATGTTTCTCCCTCCCTTTCTCCTCTAAAAATAAATAAAATTTTAAACACATAAAAAGAAAAGAAAAAAAAAAACTGAAAACGTTTAATCTGTTATACCAAGAAGCCCAACATATATTAAAAGGCTGGTACAACTATTTCTTGCTATTCCACGCTATTTACAATTTTACTGTTAAATATAGTTAAACATGTTTAAACTTCAGTGTTTGCTATTTCTTCATCCTTGGCATGTAACCCCCAAGGTTTGAAAAAACCATGGACAGCCTCAGTTTCTTTGTTACATAACAGGAACAAGAAATCCACCAGCACCAAAAACTTTAAAACTCAGATCTTTAGTAGCACTCTTTAGAACACTCTAGATTAAAAAACGTAGTAATTTGTTAAAGCATGCAAAAAAGCGTAACAGTGAATAAAAACCACAACTGACAAATATATTGGTTAACATTCCAAACATGTATAACCAATGAACATGACCTAAGTTTTTATTGTATTCACTTCAGAAACTTGAATCCACAGATATAAGCAGTATATAACCAGAAAGTTACAAGTAAACACAGATTATACATGCAAATTTCTGTTCACAAAGGTCACATGTGCAGGTATATGGATTAGAAGCGTGCGTCTAGATTATGGCCAAACTGTTTTTAAAATGCGTTAAGTGTAAAATTACATCTTGAAAATATGAAAAGATGGTCTACACACTTCAAGAATCAGATGTTGCTTATACCAGATGTATGACAGCTACAGGATTCAAGTGACAAGCAATAAGGTCTCAAAAAATTAATACTGGTCAAAGAGAATGGGCATTTTTTTACATTTCACTGAAAATACATTGACTACTAGAATACGAAATCTAGCAGAAACTTAGGGAAAAAAATTACAAAATCTAAAGCCAATTACTTAATATTTCTTATTACCTAAACAACAGCATAACATTAAAAGAAAACTGCACCTGTATTTAAATTGCTACTCAGTTAATGAAGTTCTCCAAAAATGAAATGCAATCAAAAAAGCTTCAAACTCAAAATGAAAAGTCTGCAAGGCTCAGATTAAAATGTGGAATGTTTCAGATGAAAATAATAAAAATACAATTGGTTTTGTTCTTTATTGAATGGAATCAAAAGTTTTGACATTTCTTTGAAACCTAGAACTACTAAATTTCATTTCTTTGAATAGTTCTATGTATCTTTTTCTTAGTGGTGCAAGTTGTCTTAAGTATCTTACTGAAGTCAGTCTCTACAAAGTACTTGTCTGTTACCATTCTGATAAAACAAAAACAATTCTTCATTAACTTAACCGTATATGTGTTTTTGCTATAACACTGAACACATGAACAGACATCTATTATTTTTCCACTAAAACAAAAAGAGTACAATGTTTTTCTTCTAACTATCAGTATTGTATTTAAAAAAGGTTAACATTAAAAACAAAGAACCATTATTTCCTTTGAAATCTTTAAGCTTCTTGCACATCTTAAGTTTCCTTCTTCTGCCTGCGTTCTTCTGCCAATTTATTCAGAAACTTCTGAAAAGAAAAAATAAATTACAGGAATTGAGTTACTTAAGAGAAACACAAATTAATTCTGAAATAAAATGGTGTATCCAAATTTGGGGGTTTGAGTATAATTTAGTCTATAATCTTATCATTATTTTAAAGACTCAGTTATTCCTATTAGTGTACAAAACTAAACTGGTTCAGGATACCACAATAAGGCATGGGAGGGGAAAAAAATGGTAAAATGTGAAAAACAATTTTCAATGTGCAATTAACAATAACATAAAGATGAGAGAAACAAGACCACACACAGCCCTGCCTGGTGTGGCTCAGTGGATTGAGTGTTTGCCTGCGAACCAAAGCATCACTGGTCAGATCCCCGGGGGGGGGGGGGGGGCGCGGGGGCCCACACGAGAGGCAACCACACAGTGATGTTTCTCTCCCTCTCTTTAAAAATAAAAATCTTAACCACCCCTCCCCCAAAACAACACACACTATCACAGAGAACTGCTGCTACTTCAAGAATATAGATTAATTAAAATGACATGAATTTATTCAATGCTCCTTCCACTTAAACCAAGTAGGTAACATTTTCTTAAAAGGCCAGCAATAAATTTTTTAGGTCTGTGGGCCATTTGGTCTTTGTTTGAACTATTAATTCTGCCATTACAGCAAATAAAATCAGCCATAAACAATACTTAATGATGTGGCTGCATCCCAAGAAAACTTTATAAAAAAATGGAGGCTGGGCTGCAAGTGTAGCTTGCTGACCCCTATATCAGACTGATAACGTCTAGATTTCCCAAATACCAGAGATCTGTTAAGACATTAATGAAAGTACAAAAACTACAAAGAGTATTGTCCTGCCTGGTGTGGCTCAGCACACTGAGTGCTGGCCTGTCAACTGAAAGGCTGCTGGTTCAATTCCCAGTCAGGGCACAAGCCTGGGTTGTGGGCTGGGTCCCCAGTTGGGGGCATGTGAGAGGCAACCACACATGGATGTTTCTCTCCCTTTCTTTTTCCCTCCTTTCCCCTCTCTCTGAAAATAAACAAAATCTTAAAAAAATAAAAATAAAAACCTAATCTAAAACTTCAAAAGCTTCTTTAGTTTTGGCTGAAATTCATCAACTGCAGTTACTGGAAACTGAAGAGGATTAGAAGCCAATATAGCCTTAAAAAGTAAAAAGGTTGTTAGTAAAGTATCAAGTAATTTATCATTAGCAAGATACTACTTAATAATTCTTGAATAAAGTTGACAGAGTTCTTTTAAAATAGGAAATGAGAGCCACCTCCTAAAGAATATCTGGAAAAGCATTAGAAAACATGATATTCTTTATAAAGTATCAAGCACCCAAAGACCACATTTATGTATCTCTAGGAAATAGTTTCTGCCATTGAATAGCTTTATATTAAGTCAGAAAAACGTGTATGACATTGCTCCTACTGTTGAAAATCCATCATTCTTTTTACATATTCATGATGGTAAGTAAGGTACACATAGAGAGCAAAGAACAGGTACACAGAACAAATGATACATCCCTAGCTGGTGTGGCTCCGTGGACTGAGCGCCAGGCTGTGAACCAAAGGGTTGCCGGTTCCACTCCCAGTGTAGGGCACAAGCCTGGATTGCAGGCAAAATCCCCAGAAGGGGGTGCAAGAGATGCAACCACACACTGATGTTTCTCTCCTCTTTCTCCCTCCCTTCCCTGCTCTAAACACAAAACCTTAAAAAAAAAAAAAAAAGTGATATAGCCAAGAACTAGATTTCCTGAATTCAATACTATATCCATCTAATCAACACATAGAACATGTTTGATGACTAAACACTTTTGTAGTTTTGTATTATAAAGCAGTGTAAAAAACCAAGTTAACTACAACTGTGAGTTCAGTTCTTTAACTCCTACTTTGATGTTGTTTTCCCACCATCTATTTCAATGCTCAGTCCTTAAAGCCACTAAATTATCAAATTTTAAATTATCCAAATAAAAACTTACTATTTTGTACTTTATTAAGTTATCCCATTAACTTTATATTCTATTGGTTATAAAAGTAACTGAAGAGTGTCATTAACAAATAATAATTTAAAGTCCATGTAAAATCAATTAGGCATGACAGGACATAAACTTTATAAAGCTGAAAAGGCTTTATACTATGCCACTTGGTCTTCTGGCTTCAGTATTTTCCAAATTAGACAAATTATAGTCCAATACCCATTTGATAATACTTAAAAATACCTTTAATTTTATTACAAAATTTATGATATGGTTAGAAATTACTAACGTATCATCATTATAGTATTATAGAAAGAGGCTGAATAAATGTTTCTAGAATTGACTAAACTACTCAGGGCCTATCAATGTTACACCTCTGGGTCCAAAGAAGGTTGCTATACACATTTTATTTTCCATAAACTTATATCATTTGTTTTAACAAGGGAACTCTCCTCTTTTTAAGATTTAGCCTTACCTTTAATTTCTGATAATGAGGAAGGCTGCTGCAATGAGTATTCTTTGCAACTTCTTCATTTGTATAAAAGAGTGAACACAGCTTACAGTAAAACCCTGTTTTAGGTATCACATAGTCTATACCTAGAACACAAACATACATTCTTACAAATTCAGTAAACTGAGTATTAGTGTTCTCAAATCTTGTGTGTGTGTGTGTGTGTGTGTGTGTGTGTGAAGTCCAATATAACCTAATCTAAAAAAAAATTAAAAAAAGGAAAATCCAACAAAAACCACGACATTAGCAGTGAGTTGTATTTAATTGATATTCAAGGTCCCACCTGATAGTACTCTTTAAAAGGCAGAAATATAACACGTAAACAAAACAAAAGCAAAGTGAAATTCTCTGAAAGCTTTGAGGAGAATAGTACATATTGTGTAATGGTAACAAAAGATAATACAAAATCAGGTGACCTGGGTAAGAAAGAAAGAATATATCAAGATTTACAAATTGTTCTGTACAGAATTAAATGTAAAATGCTATCAGAGCTTACGTAAGACCAATTTTTAAATCATATAGTAAGAGTTTGGGGAGGGTGAGAGGGGAAGAACAAAGCCTTAAATCTCACCAACAGGAACATTGGGCTGATATGGTCCAATTCTATACTCATCTGGGATTGTATAGTCTTCCTTGTTTTCATCACTTTGGCCATCTGCATTTTCACTTGTGTCTTTGTTCGGATCATCAGCATTCTCGCCAGATTCAGCGCCTGGTTCTGCGTTTTCCTCATTTTTAATTCCATTTTCCAACGCTGCTTCATTTTCTTGATCAAGTTCCTCCATCTTGTCCACCTTAATTTCAACCAAACCATCATCATTTTTGTCACCAGATTTAAATGCCATGCCCGATTTACGAAGTTTCTGAAGTTCCGAATCTTCCTCATCACCAACCTCATCTAGAGTGACAAAACCTTCCATATTCCCTGGGAAACGACGCTGTTAAGAAAGACAAATTTACTCTGCAACAATTGTCCTGCAGTATCCCTTCCATTTTTGCTTTACTTGAAGGGAAAGGGATAGCGTCTTTTGTCTTTATGTAGTCTCTCAAAATACTGACTTTTCTTTTTCCCCCAAAAATCACTAATAAAAAACACACACACACAAACTTAGTTTGTTTTAAAGCTAAATAATTGAAGACTTGCCTTATACAAAGAGTACAAGATAAACGAAATGAGGTCTTTCGTATTCTACACTTTGAGGCTTTTATACTTCTAGGGAATGTATTAAAAAAACTGGTTACAAATAATTGAATGATGTCCTTTGGAAGGCAGTATCTTATGATACAATTGTTGTTTAAGAGAATTCTCAGTCTGAAACAGTGGATTTAAAAAAAAAATAAAAAAAAAAAGGCAGGCTTTGGAGCATGACCACCTAGATTTAAGTTTTGGCTTAGTCACTTATGAGCAGTATGATCATGGACAATTTACAATTTATGGAACTTCTCCATGCCTCAATTTCCTCATTCATAAAATACAGATAACAAAGGCATCTATTGCACATGGTTACTGCAAGGATTAAGTTCATTAATGTATAGAAAGAGCTTGCAAAACTTTATAGCATGTAATAAATGCTCAATAATCACAAGCTCTTAACAATATGGAGGTAAAAATTAAGTTTTCCAATAGTTGAGACTTGTTTGGAAAAAACCAATAGAACAGGATTACAAAAGTCTCAATTCCTAAGCCATTTAACGTAGAGGCTTCAAAGGCATTTTAATGCTTGAATCCTTGATGTAGGTAGTATTACATAGGTCATTACTGTTCTATGTATTTTTATATTTATATTCACCAGATAACGCTCTTATTTATAACATGTTAAAGAAAAATACTTTAAAATTTATTCATGTGTCTGCCCTGGCTGAGTGGCTCAGTTGGTTGGAGAATCATCCCATACACCAAAAGGTTACGGATTCAATCCGGGGTCAGGGTGAGCACAGGAGGCAACTGATGTTTCTATCTTTTTCTTTCTTTCTCCCTAGCTCTCTAAATTCAATAAACATATCCTTGGGTGAGGATTAAAAAAATATTATCTTTTAAAAAGTTATTAAAGTATGTGATCAAGCTCATAATTCTCAAATATAAAGGTCTTCAATTTTTTGAGTAAGTGGACAAATGTTTTCAGTATCTTTCATCAGTTAACTTAATGCAAACTTATACCCCATCTTTTAAAAAAAAACAAGATGAACTATACAGCTGCCTACAAGACACACTACCAACTACAATACAGAAAAAGTCTTTCTCCTTCATTACTAGAAAGTTCTCTGTTAAGCTGGCATTTTCGGGCCACTGTAAGAGGTACTATTTAATCTATTTATTGCAGAGTTTAGATTTAAATGCTTGTATTTTTGTTCATATCTGTTTTTTTCTAATATAAATGACTAATTCTCTTTAATCTGATCCTGCTAGGGTAAATAATTTGAAACATTCATCTGACCTAGTTTTTTATTAGAACAGGTCAGTGTATAATCTTCTTTACCTTTTTAAGCTTTTTCTTTGACGCTGAAGCACTTGCACTTCCATCTTTTTTCACAGCTTTGTCTGAAGGTTCCTTTTTCCCATCAGAAGTCACATCACCTAAATTAGCAAGATCTGTCTCATCTCCCACTGAACTGCCACTTTCTAGCAGTGCTGCTGCTTCTTCTTCATCCACGAGTAGCTCATCTTCAGATTCAAGAAGCATGCTAGGTTCTTGTTCTGCCTGGTCATCTTTTGTGTCTTTTTCACCATCTTCACCTGACTTTTCTTCTTGTTCTTTACCTTCAGTTGTACTTTCAGTCTTCTGGGAACCATCAGTTTTCGATTTCTTATCACTCGGAGATTCTTTGCCGTCTGGAGAGTAAGATCTTTTTCTGAAATCAAGAAGATACACCTCAATTAATTTTGAGCTGGAAAATAAAAGTCCAATATACTACTGTTTATATACATACACACATACACACACACAAAGACACACACAATTAAATTACCGAGATTTATCTTTTTTCAGTAGGTCAATGCCTCTGTTAGGAATCTAAAAGACAAAATTTTGCATTACTTAATGTATTAAAATATTCATTTGCAGAATACATAATTATCTCATTAACTGATAACCACCCTTCCCTTCGTATAACCAAATAAGCTTATTCAATCCCTATAAATATATCCAAGAATTTAAGCCACCTATAGTCAGCAGTTCATTACAAACATTTCAATAAAGCAATATATAATAAAACATCCTGGTAGCAGAACTGTTCAAATAAAATCTAAAATACAACAGATAGATAAAAGCAATAAAGGTGCTTTTGCAGAACACTCGATAAAAAAACTTTTGCTACCGAGTAACACCAGAAAAAGAGAAGTTGCTCTCTTCTAATAACTAAACTATATTCTTAATAATTACAAATCAAGTACTACATACCCTTAGTACCAATTTTTTGTATTTTTCAGACAGGTCAACTTTCACACATCTCCCTTGAAACCAAAGGGCCTTTTTCAAACAGTGGTCGACCATTGCCATTGCATCTTCTCTGGTCTCCATCTCAATAAAGGCCTTAAAAAAATAAGAAGGAACATTACTTTTCAAAAAATTGTACGGAACTCTAGTGCTTATTATTCTTTCCATCCACTTGTTAGGAAAATTTAATCTTTAGCAGAGCCATTGGTAAGAGTTAAAAGTCACCCAATAAAATAAGGACAACTTAAAATTTACAAAGTAGCACCAAATATTAAACCACCTGTATGAAGGCTTTCTGTAAAAAGTAATTAAACTAATAAGCTTAGAAGATATTAGTCAAAATATTGTAAGGAAAAGAAAAAGTTAATAAAAATGTCTGAAAGGATATAAATTCAGAATGCTGTTTAAGTAAATATCAGATGGCGCAACAAACAAATGAACAAACCAAATTCTTAAAAATTATGTATAATGTGGAAAACAGTATAATCCTGGGTGAAGTGAGAGTGAGAGTTTGAGAGAGACAGACCAATACACACAAAGATTTTTGGTAAGCAAAACCTGGAAACAAATAGTGTTACTAGCCTGAGCAAGATAGCTTTACTTTCCACTTATACTCTTCAATATTTATTCAATGCTTTACTCTTAGCATCAAGTACAATGTGGGGAAAAACATATTTATCATTTTTTGCCTAAGAAAATTTACCTATGAGATGATAAAGAAAATTCCCTTGCTTTCTTTACTAAAAATGAGTATATACCAAAAGAAAATTTAAAAAATAATCTTTTTCAAAACCTCTACACATATATTACCTGACTTTTCATTCTCATCAGTATATAATTCTTTATTTTCCCATAAGGCTCAGCAAGCTTAAGGACAGCACTGTCAGAATAGCCAGAATGAGGTAAATTGCTGAGATGTATCACACGTCCAAGCTCCTGCTTTTGATCAAACTTCTGGTCTGGCTTCCCTTCAGGTTTCTTTAATAAACAAGAAAAAAAAAGTCATGTCAAATGTTGGCAGGTGTGCAATAATTATTAGTTAATACTTAATATTATCCTAAGTATTAGCAGCAATTTAAAGTAGCTAAGATTAATTATTAAAATGATTGGTAATACACATCTGAAAAAAATAGATTTACCTTTATTCTTTTATACTTCTGGGATAAATGAACTCTCACTGGCTTGCCAAATACTAATGCTGGTGTTGTTGTATAATAATCTACTGCAGCCTGAGCATCTTCTGTGGTTGCCATTTCAATAAATGCCTGAAGTTGTAAACACACAGACAAAAAAACTATTTCAAACAAACATTGTTCAAAGTCTTTCCAGACATATTTAACCATTAAATAAAAAATACTTTCAAGAATCTAAAAGCAGAAATACCAACATTGCTGACGTGCTATTTTATTAAAGGTCATCTCATACTTTATTTATGCTACTACAACTATAGCTTATGCCCACTGGACTTGAAATAATGATTCACCACTATTTTGGTTAAAGTCTGAAATGACTTCCCAAAGAATTATCCTTTTACAGACCTTTTAGTAGTTTAATAATAACAATTTACAACTTAAGAATCACAATTTATAAACTAATTACCCATTAGTACTAGAATTTAGTATTACACAGGTTCTTGAATGTTTTGTTATGACATTGATGAGATGCCTTAAGAACTTAACTCTTGTTTATACTAATTAGCACATGGTAAAAATGGTTTCATTATATGTCATTTCACTTAAAGAACATACTAACTTAAGACTTCCTATATCAACATACTTCACTGGCTTTTCCTCTACTTCATTCCACATTGATGATTTAAGGTTACATACAGATAGTTCCTTTTCTTTGCATTTTTTCACACTGAGTTTTCTAATACAAACTCATGTTATCCCATGTTATCTGCTTGGGAAAATATATTAGTGATGAATAAATACTACATTTATTTCAACTCATACCTCATTAATTTTATTTAAAATGAGATGATTTGAAATGACTCCAAATGGTTCCACCAGCTGTAGCAGTTGATATCTCAAGTTTTTCCCTCGCTGAAAATCCATGATGTGAACAACTCGGCTAGTTTCCTATGCATTGGAGGGGGGAAAAAATCACGCCAATGAATCTCTTTAAAAGCAATGAGACAGATTAGGCACTACAAATTTGGTAAGTCTAGTCTAATGTTAACCAGAATAGAGTATTTAAAATAACAATTCATGTAACATTCTAGAGAATTTAAAAACTAGACAGAAAATCAAAAGTCAGTGGGGTAGATCTCAGTATTTCAGAAAACAGTCTCTACACTGATTTTTAAATTGAATACTGTGGACACTACTGGATAGCAAAGATCTTAAGATCCTGAATCAAAGTGAGATGTATCCACTACAGGCATATTAAAATTAAAGTTCTATGCCCTTGCTGGTAGGGCTCAGTGGACTGAGCATCAGCCCGCGAACCAGAGGGTCACTGGTTCGATTCTTGGTCTAGGGCACATGCCTGGGTCACATGCCAGGTTTCCAGTGGTGGGCGTGCAAGAGGCAACCACACGTTGGTATGTCTCTCCCTCCCCTTTTTCTCTCCCTTCCCCTCTCTAAAAATAAATAAAATCTTAAAAAAGTTTTAACTCTTATCAACATCACAGAAAAGCCTGATGGCTTCAAACTATAGCAGTCTTCTGATAGCAAGGACTATGACAAAGATTCAGAGATTCAATTAGCAAGGATTTAAGTCAAATCATTCATAAAACAGTAAATACAGTAAAAGCCAAGAACTGTGTTACTGACCACTCTGCCTTTTTGCATGTGTCTTGGTCCTTGCAGGTTCCCGTTTCCAGCACCTTTATGGGGGAAAAAGTACTTTTTTCAGTCTTATACTTGCTATAAACATACTTGCCGTAACAGGTGATTTCAATTGGAAAATAAACTTTTAAAACACTAAAAGAATATTACAAATCATGAGCACCATGTCTTTTCATGCAATGTTATTTTTGAGTAGCAGTTTAACTGTCCTTCTTTTGCCCATAATCACTGTTTATTTGTACAGTAAAAGCTCTTAGGAAACAACATAAACTTTATAATCACCCAGATTTCCTCTTGGTCCAACTGCTGGTCCCCCAAGATGAAATGAGGGAGGTGGAGGCCCCAGAATTCCTGGTGCTGGGTTTGTTGATTGCTGCAACATGAACGGATCACCCCTAGCAATGTGAAGAAATAATATATAAATAAGGTGCATGACAAAGACATCCATCAGAAATAAGATTTAGTAAAAACACTCCTTGTATAACTACGATTCTAATCTTTGGGGGCATTTCTGTGTGAAGCAACTAGGGGAAAATCTTAATAAAATAAAAATTACTACATAAAATAATTTCTAAAAATTCTTTCACCCACTGACTTTTCCCTCATATTCAATAAAAAAAAAATTCAGAAAATATTTTGAAAGTTTAACCTGAATTCCTTACACTCATCTCCTTTACAAACAGTAGCTTAAAAAATTTAACTTACATTGTATGTCCTGTATCATTGTCAGGGTTCCATTCTGGGTAGCTTTAAAAAGACCAGAAAATTAACTTTAAAATAAAACTGTCCTTTTCACAAAGTAGCCTTGTTTGGCCTTTAAAATAGAGATTAGTTATTAGTAAAGTTATATGAGAGTCTAAATGTTAGAAATATTACAATTTAAACATGTCATATATATTTCCCAAATAAAAATGTCAAAACTTCAAGTTAATCCAAATGAACAAAACAACAAAACTTGTTCTGTACTGCTTGAAACTGTAGGTAGTTAATACTAAAATTAAGTTTTCTGTATTTGTCAAGTCTTTAAGTAGGAAAACTGCTGCATGAGTAATTGGTAGTATGGGCCATATAAAGAAAGACCAACCACAGGCTTTCCTTCTCCAATATAAGTACCAAGAGCACACTAGAAAGGATAGCCCCAACAGAGCTAGGCATATGTGAAAATTGCAACTCCAGAAAACGGATATTGTGCGTGCTGCTTAGGCAGGGAGATTCTTCAGGAATTCAACTTCATTGTAGCTTAAAGTCAGAAAAAAAGGTATCCCAAAACCAGAAAGTATATCCTGAAGGCTTCTGATTAAAAACTAATTTATAATTTGCTAATGACTTGCCCTCTTTTGTATATTCAGTATTTTTAGAGCATGTAAATATCCTATGTATCAAAAGCTTTCTTTAAGTCTATTAAAAATTCTCTGGATTTGTATAAAAAGACCGATGTTAATTTACTCTAGAAATAATATTAAGTAAAAAAGCACCTCTATCACTGAATCTAATATTCCATATACGATCCCTTATAATTAGCATTGCCTGGACAGTATCAACTATGCAGCAATAATAATGTGGATATTACAAGTAAATAGCCAATTCCCAAAAACCAATCAATAGCTGTTTCTGATTCACGATTAAGGATGCTTTAAAGGTATTTCAAACTCCTACATTTCAAGAAGAAGCTGGCATCGACGACTGTGACTTGCTCCATTGATATGTTGACTCCACTCCTGCAGCAAAGTAAATTAGTAGAATTAACAAAAATAAAACTAAAATATTTTCATTTGAACCATTCAAACTCTAGATGTTAATCTATATGCAATATCATAGGCTGCACAAACACCTGCACATTCACTTATCATACTGAATTTAAAACTATTTCTCTGAAGCCATGTATCTTGATCCTGCCCTCAAATACGCCAAGCACATTCTTGGAAAAACTGGATAATTTGGTTAATATACTAATAGACCTGACAGGGAAAGATACAGAGTTAATAAAGATCAAGAGGAGTAACTGACCTTGAGATCAGCTAGACATTAATTTCTGCTGTAGACCAAACTAATTTATTCATGTCATTTTAGAAATGCTTTTTTATAGCATTCTAAATATGACTAAGTATGACAAAATATGCATGCTTATATCTACTTTTGTAGGAAATATACGCTTTAAATGTGAACAATGAAAGATATAGGCTTTGATTTCATCCAGCCTTTGAGGTATGATCCAAGTATACTACAGACATAAAAAGCTAAGAGGACTAAACAAATGACTTTGTTCAAAGAAATGCTCCCCATTTATCCAAAAACTAAGTCCCCCATTGTATTTCCCAAAAATAAAAAAGCAAATTTCAATGCCTGTTTCCAACTTTTAGTGAAGGAAACATGGTATCAATATTTGCTTTGTGGTTATTTTAAATTTAACGGGATTAACGTTTTTCCTATTTCATATATAAATGATTGATGTTTTAGGTGATGTAAGAAAAAATTATTAGGAAAAGTAGGCTCTGCTGCACACTGCCTGGTTTCCATTTCCAAGGTTTCACTTACTTGCTAGATGTGAATCCCTGGTACAAAAAAAATTCACTGTGATTCAATATTTTCACATGGTTTTATAGAAAGTAAATAATGAAAGGTAAACTGCTTATCAGAACATTGCCAAGCACACAGAAAGTGCTCAAAAAGTGAACTATTATTACACTGCTTATAAAAGCTACTGTGTTTTACAATTCCTGCTTTTTAAGTATTGTTTCATAAATTCCCACAAAATGAAGCAACATCTTTTGTGACACCCACACTACCCTAATACAATTGTATTTGGAACATAAAACATGGTCAGGCAATGTTTTTAAAAAGGGTCTCACTTAGAGCTAAATTAAAACAAGGAACCAAATTACAAGAGATGCTTTTTGAAAAGCTTTAGAATTATATTTTATAAACGGGATCCTAATTTTAAAAAGTGGTTTATATTACAAGTTTACATACATTCCTATCCTGTAAGAGAATTAACTAAAATCCCATGAGAGAACTAAGATGGAATACATCCACACAGAATGGAACGTCTTCAGAACTCGAAGAGCTATCTCTCAAATCTAGATTGTCTTTTAAAAATAATGGCTATTAACTAAGAAATTCAAAGAGATCATCCAGCTAGCTCTACACCCAAATATTTAGGTTATAAAAAGGTTTTACTTGTAAAGCAACAGACCACTAACTTGTTGGAGGCCATTTTTAAAATAGCTGTAAGCAAGGGGCATCATAGGTAGAGTTCACAAAAATCCAGAAGAGTAGGATTAAACAAGTAATTTAGAGTTTTTTTTGAAAAATATTCTCAGATTTTACTTATAAAATAATCTTGAAAAGTAATGTGTTGGGAGGAGTAAGACAGCCTACTAAGGCATCCTTCTAATTCATAGGAGATGGGATGGGTCTCTAGTTGAACAGAAATTACTTACATCCAATCCCCCATGCCCTCTAAAGGTTCAAATTTATATTAAGTGTGGCTGATCTTTCTAAATACTGAAGTACCAGAAGGCCTGCCAAGATGAAAGAATCAGTTACAAACCTCCCAAGCCCACCCATTACTAATCTGCACTACCCACACTTTATCTTTTACTGTCTGGTTTCAGGTGAAGATTAAGAATCAAAGGGCCTTTTGAAAACCTATTTCTTTGGATTCTACACTGAGGTAATTCTCACATCAGATTCATAAAGAACAAGGATTCACTTTTTGAATTCAGAAGTTCTGTCAGAAAACAGTTATATAAAGAAAGAATAATTTGGAGAAAGATAATTAAAAGGATAATTCTGGAATGGCAGAATAAAGAATAACAATTTCTAGAGTAATAGTAAAAGGAAAAATATGGACTCAAGTGACAAGACAGCGAAAGGGCAGTTTTCTTTAAATGAAAGAATTTGAGGTTGTGTAGAAAAGCAACTTGAAGTTCTAAAAATGACCTAGAAAGAAAGAAAAGCAACACCATCACTGAAAGTCACTTAAAATAGCAAAAATAATGACGACAAATTAGACGATCTTTTTCACCTAAAAGTTTCTCATTTCATTTTAATAAGTTTAGATCGTGTATGTTATGTAATGTTACCACTAAATGAAAAGAACAGATTTTCCAAGTTATGCAGCAATACCAGAGAGCAGGATTAAATGTTTAAAAAATTTTTCATCATCTACTTTCACCACAGGAATTTTCTCTGAAGTCACTGTTTCTATATCAGCTATCAAATAAGAAAGAACCACTGCGAAACATGAGTATTTAATTATTTTTTTCAATAACCCAGAAAATATCACCGATGTTAAGGAAACTAGAATACACTCAGAATCAATCCAGGTGTTTACGCTTAAAATTGGTCCAGTTTACAATGATAAATTTTGTAAATAAAAGAATCAAAGGGCCTCTAAACTAATTCTTAAATATTCCCAATACTGTGTCAGAAAATCAAAACTAGCTTGGGCCTAAGCATTTTTCAGGTTAAAAGTACCTATTACACTAGAGTTAGGATATCTCAGTCTTGAATCCAATGTTTCACCAAAATTTTTAAACTGTTCTATGTTAATTTAGACCTATTTATTATCATTTATTAATATCATTGTCCAGGAACTAGAAAGTAGCAAAATTTGGAGAAAAAAATCATCATATATAAAAAATAGAAATTTTTCTGATTCAAGTCCTCCCATGGCTTCCTTTTGTGTTCCTTTATTCAACTTATTTTCTATATGCAAGCAACAAGGTTAAATTACCATTCAAAGTCAGGAGAAGGGACTTCTAACAACAGGTTTTGATTTATGATGACTCCAGTAACAAAGATTTTAAATCCCTACATTCACTTTCATTTGAGACACTGTAACTAGTGATTTTCCTTGGAATTTAAGAGATCCTACCTGAAAACAGTGATCAATATTGCAATTACTGCAAATAGGCAAGAAGTTAATGAAAACATTTTGAGTCATCAAAGTTTAACAGACCTCTTCATTAAATCAACTCCCATCAGACCTAGAACTTGAAATTTAGTACTGAACAAAATCTAAATTCCATGATAAACACAGTATTATCCAATAAATTTGAAAAAAGACAACACCAAAAACACCTACCAAACAAAATTTCCTAATTTCTTTGACTTTTTTTGGATTCTGTCTTAAATGGAAATTAATCTATGAACTTAAATTTAACATTTAATGTAATTTTGGTATGAATTAAAGATTAAAATATTCCTTGTTTGTGTACTTAAAACTATACATGAATTCAAAAGATTTTTGTATGAAAGAAATACATATTAAGAATTACGTTTTTAAAGACATTTTAAAATATTCTGTCAATTCAAATATAAGAAATTTTAGTTATTGTGGACAAAAATACTGAGATACAAACAGAATATTAAACAAAATCTCTAATAATTTATGATTTCATTTATTCAAAAAATACTAAAAAGTGTATTTAAAAGGAATACGTATGAAAAGAAAGTGACCTTTCCAGATGTTACTGTAAATAACCATCAATTTCATGACAGCAACATGTTCCATTTAAATAGAATTAACTATACAGCACATCAGGAAAAACGGATGGTCAGATTATAGATCAAGCTAGTACAGTGCTGTAACGTTGACTTTTAAGTCAACTGCACTGTATATTGAAAAAAAAATCAAAGAACAAGTAAAACAGAAACACTGCAAGAGAAAGGACATATTTAAAAGGGCATTCTGAAAAAGTTCCCAATTTGCAAGATGTGATAATTAAAGCAAAGGAGAATTCGATATACCTTTTTTTCCCCTCAAACGACTATACCAGAAGTCTAAGCCTAAGTCAGAAAAAGATTATGCTTATGAGGAACACAGAGCAGGATACTGCGGTAGTTGAGTTTTCTAAGTCTCTAAAGGGATAGATGCAGTATGTGATAATAAAAAGTGAGTTCTGAAGTATGTTTAAGAAAGTTGTGGAAAAGGAGAAAAAAAAATGATGAAAAACTCCAGTCATAGTATGAGAATTTGTGTTAAAGGGAAATTAAAAAAGGAAGAATGAACTAATTTAAAATATAAAACATACTGAAACACATACCAGGGCTCTACATTAACTCTTTCCCTGTAGCCACAGATAAGGAAAAAAAGAGAATTGTTCAAGAATCCATCTTTACTACATACAAATCAGCAATCAAGACAGATGGAGAGCTAAAATCTAGCATCCTGAGTGGCAGAGCGCATTGACTGCAAAAAATAAAAATAAAAAAAATACTTAAAACAATTCAACAAAGCAGACAAAAAAACTGCTTAAATATGATTAAGAAGAATATACTGATGCCAAAAACCAACAAGATAATCCGAGTGGATGACAGCTTTGTGGCCAGAAGTAATCTAGGCAGATTGTATTAATGTAAAGCCCTGGTTTAAAATGCTGAAAAAACAATTAACCTTCCAAATAAAGTGTTCTCAAAAGTATAAAAATTCTTGATCAACTCAGTGTCACCAGACTACAGAATTAGAGTAAAAGATATAGGTAAATACAGAATAGACACTACAATGTAAAAGAAATTAGAAGCATCTGTTGCATTAACTCACCTTATTAGAATGAACTGGCAAGTCACATATAGAGCACAGATGGGGATAACCCTTCGGTAAGAGTCCATGGAAGTCTTCAATATTGCTACTTGGAGGAGCGCCCCTCTTTTTCTCAAAGAGAGATCTCTCTTGTAAGGGGCCAGGACCACGTCCCATTCTCTCATACTCACTGTCAAATTTATGATAGTTATGCGAGGTCTCGCCAAAAAAGGAATCATCCCTACACCTTTCTCCATCTCTTAATCTGTCATCTTCATAATCCATTCTGTCATAATAACCAGATTCTTGAGAACGACTTCCATGGTCATAATCAAGCACTGGGTTGAGACTAGGACCACGATCATCAAAACTATCTCTTCTAAAGTGCCTTTTATCTTCCCAATCATCCCTAGGTACTCTGTATGGTGGCTCCCGTGTAGCAGATCTGCCATCTCTACCATAACTCAATGTAGGGCCTTCTTCAGTTCTCCTCCTTTTAAGTTGTAGAAGGATTTGGGGCAAATTCTCAGGAGTGATCTTGTCCTCTGGATAACGACTCAGTTCATCTAAGTCTCTAGCAGACAAACCAAAGCTGGCCAAAATGTTACTGGCCTGGTCTGCATCTCCACGGTGTTGAGAAGACAAAGGGAGTGGACCTCTACTTCCAATGTTAAATATAGACTGCAAATTATGGGAAGAAGTACTAGCAGAAGACAGTGCACTATGAGCTCCTTGTTGATTCAATGAAGAACTCATTCCAAGATTCATTAAACTAGCAAGGCGTGCAGTACCCTGGTTCATCCTTCCAAGAGATGCTGGCATACTTAAAGACTGGGTAGCAGCAGCAAGAAGGCCTATTCCTGCTGCAGACAGGTCACGCCCATGACTCTGCGCGTCCCTACCGAGAGATGACTGCTGGAATGACTTGGACATTGTAGAACTATCTCTTGTCTAGTTTACAGATTAAAAAAAATTTTTTTAAGATGGCCAAAAAGAAAGCTCAAACTAGAAAACTAGGTTAACTGTGCTTCAAAAAATGGTAACGCCAAGAAAAAGGATCAATAAGGACTGGAGAATCTTCTTCAAGCTGAGAACCAGCAGACAACTCTGTAGAAAAATAAGCAATTTTAGTCATAAATCCCTTTAAGTAGATGCCGTTTTTTAAAGAAAAAAACTTATGCATCATGTTGATTAAAAAAAAAAAACATTCCAAGATCTCAAACTTAACAAGGAATTTATTATATATCTTAAACAGATTCCAGATGTATGCAGAGCCTGCATATATTTAAAAAGTAGCCTTTCATGCTAATATTTAACTATTAAAGGGAATTTCATACTAAATTTAAAAACATTTCAATTGAAAGGTTAGATGTCAGAGTACATCAAAATTTTGGTAAAAATACAGATGGGTCTCTTCTTTCAGAAGAATAAAAATACACCCTATAGTATGATGCTTAAGTTCCAGAAGACTAAAAACAAACAAAAAAAAATCAATGTCAGCAAGTCAAAGATGAATCAGTAGTATTCTGCTTTAGAAAATGAGACCTATTATAACTATCAGAAAGAACCAAGTAAAATCACAAGTAAGTGAAGTTTAGGTGTCAAGTACCTAGTATAAGATCTAAGACCAAACACAATAGCCGAGACTTTTATACAGCAAAATCAATTTGAGGTGAAGACAGATGTGAAGAAAATTAAGTGACTTCCTACAGTTCAAGGAATTCTGCACAAATTTAAGCCATATAACTAACTGTCTTCTTTTCTGTCTACCCTATGTTAGGCAGTGCTTATTTCTTTTCTAATCTTGTAAGGTAAGAACCAAGCATGGTAAGTACAGAAATAAGAGACTTCCCAAGGAAAAAAAATCCAAATACAGGAAGTGTAGGTGATTTAAAGAAGTGAAACTCCCCAAATTAACATCCACCAACACTTATTTAATGCTCAGGGTTTCTGCACCTCTAGAGCTCAAAACAGGTAAAATGAAAACAAGATCTTGCTTGCATAGACTTCTGGAAACTTTCCCCAAGAATAGCCATAGTCAACTGAAAAATTTAAATTCTGAATAACCCAAGCTGTGTTTCTAGATGAAATTATTTTAATTTTCTTTCTTAAATTTTTACCTCAGAAATAGTTATGTAAGAATTTGCAAAGTATTTACCTATGATTCTCATACAATTATCAGTTAAATGATGTACATAACAAATGGCCCTAATGAAACCATTTTTTTTATAATCACAACTACATACAGAAGTTAAATTTTTTCCTATGGAATTCTTTTTAAAGGCTTTGTTCAGTTAAGTTTTGTTTGATCATTGATCCACCTAAGCACTGATAGTGCAATACATTAAACTTTATTACAGTAAAAACGAGGCAAGTCAATAGCTCTTAGTCTATTATGAAACCAATCCCACCAATGATAGAATAAAGCAAGGAAAACACTGGACAAATACAGTAGTAGAGGAAGTATTTTTAAAAAAAGGTTACAGGCAGGACTACATTTTACAAAAAGATGTAAAAAAGTTAAAAAGACACAGAAATGCTATCAGAGGTGACTGGAATTACAGATGTTTTCGCACACCAAGAAAGATGAACCTGAGAAAGGACATCAAAGAAACTAGTTCTGGATGAGATCCACTATATAAGCTACGTAGGGTTTAGATAAGATTAATAAAAATAAAGACAAGAGTAAGTGGACTTCTTTGGATGAAAGTTTCTTTGATATATCCTATAAATGCTATACAGAAAAGCACTTGAAATACTGTGTAAAAACATTGGTAGGATTCTCTAAGTTTTTCTGTATACTTTATTATAAAAGATCAAAACTTTCATAGGGTTTTCAAAATCAGTATTTCAAAGTACCAAGGTTATTAATAATTGCAATTTTGCCCTTTATGTTATAACCAAAGCTTTGTATTACTGAAAAGCCAGTTTTTAAAAAGAACTATTCTTTTCCCTCAGTGAAATTATACAATAGTATCATGATCATGTATAAAACTTTTAAATTCGTATTTTAAGAAAATGCTTGTTGGATTAGAGATCTTAATTACTTTTCTTTGTAAGATATAATGAAAACAATGGATCTGCAAAAAAGAAAGGTTAAGATAAAGTAGAAGATAACCTTAAAACAGAAAATGGATGTCCAGAAAAAAGGGCAAGACAAACACTGTAAATTCCATGACAACTTGCAATTTCATTAAGAATAACCTTAAATATTTTTTACTCAGAGTTTCAACTTACATACACCCGCACACAAGGACATGAGAGTAATATTACTGAAAAGGAAATTAACCCAAACCTTGAAACACGTATAATTAAACAAAATTCTTAAAATTTTTCTTTTATTAGAACAAAGAAACTAAGATAAATCAGATATGACAACACTGTTTAAAGAGCTTTTATAAAAAAATTCTTTTAGTATCTTTGGTCAATGGTAAACATAAGACATGCCATTTTAAAAGGCTCATTTAAGCGAGAACTACCACCTATTAAAATTAGCAGAGTACTGAGATGTTAAGTAAAGGTTTTTAAAAGAGTGGCTTCTTTTACTGAAGGTTCCCCCCCCCATAATTATAAAATTACTGTTTCATAGTATACCAGAGGTTAATAAAAGTTTGAAAGTAGTTCCTTGGAGAAAATTCTAAAATGTAACATCAAAATTTTATTTACCCATTTCAGAACCTTTCACTTACAAAAAGTAAGTACCTTCACCCCCAAATGAGGAAAACATTAAAAAAGTGCTAACATTATCCATAACTAGGCTTCACAAACGCCATTTACTACAAACTGATACTCAAATTCGTTTTTTCTTTTAAGATTTCATTTATTTATTTCCAGAAAGAGGGAGAGAGGTAGGGAAACATTAATGTGCAAGAGAAACATCCATCAGTTGCCTCTCACACACCTCCAACTCGGGACCTGGCATGCAACCCAGGCTTGTGCCCTGACCTGGAATTAAACCAGCAACCTTTCAGTTCGCAGGCCAGTACTCAGTCCACTGAATCACACCAGCCAGCGCAGACACTCAGATTCTTAACAAACAAGCTTAAAACTCATTTTTATAGACAATTCTATTAAATAATTAACTTAGAACTTAAAGCTAGTTTAAGGCCTAATTGTAAATGCTACTAAATATGTTAGTTTCATGTTCAACATCTGAATATTACCTGTATGTATGGTTAAGAATTAACTTTCAGTTAGCAATACTCAATCTTCTCCTCCATGAAGAGCTAACTATCTGATATTTTTTACTTGATTTATTTTTGTCTCCAATTAAAAGTGAAATACTAAAATATTTCAGAAAACAAAGTTTAACACACTCAGAAAGATCACGAAAAACAAAAGCAAATGGTTGTTCCATATTTAGACCTCCTCCTATGTAAAATAAAATTACCCGTCAATCCTATTATTCATTCCTTCACAGGGTTAGTTTATTTAGCAAGATTACTAAAGTAAGCACAAACAGATTCAGTTCTTTAAAAGATATTACAAAAGAAGATTTTTAGCTACTAAATTCAAAATTTTTCAATGCTGTGTTTTAATGGTATCTACTACCATATGGATCTTTAGCTATGCTCTTTAACTGTGTGAATTACTTCTTTAAAACAACTAATTTTAAGATGACAGAACCATAAAATTTGTCGAGATACTCAGGAAAACACATCTTCATGATGACATTACTTTAATCCCTTTCACATAAAAACTTACAAGCACCAGCCAGGAAACTATAGTTTCTTACATTATTTCCCCTTTCTGAATTAAAAAAGACAAAGGGTACAAGAAATTTTCAGATTTCCCAAATGTTCTATCAAGGTCAAACATTCTTCTAATCTGTTAACTTATTCTTATGAAAATACGCCAAATATGTTTAAGGTCGCAACCAATAATACCAATACAGTAAAAATGTCCCAACCATGTCAACAATACATGACAAGGATAGCACACTATTAATAATTTTGAAGAAGCATCATTTGGAAAGGTAGCTGCTTAATTTTTCAGTCACAAAAACAAAAAACCATTGAATCCTATGGTCAGAACTTTTAAACTAAGTACCTTAATCATTTCCAATTAAAGTACAAGTTAGACCCTGGCCAGGTAGCTCACCTGTTTAGATTATCATCCCAAAACACCAAGGTTGTGGGTCTGGCCAGAGCATATACAGGAAGCAACCAATGAATGTATAAATGGGTGGAACAACTCAGTATTTGTTTCCTTCTCTCTTAAATCAATTTTTTTTTAAAAAAAGGTGTAGATTGTTGGTACCCATGAGAGAACTAAAGTTACTGGAAAGGGTGCCTGAAACTTTGCATAAAGTCAGGGTTAGGTTAATTATTCCTTAAAGTTTTCTTGCTTATTAATTTTATAAATAGTGTATCAATAGTTTCCAATTCAAAGTTATAGCCACCACCAATTCTTTTCAATATATTTCATAACTTATTTCATTTAAGGGTTTAATTTTTCAAAAATGATTGTATCTGAGGAACTATTCAGTTTTTTATATAGAGCAAGAGCTACTTTAAAACCTTATACTTTATCTATTCTTCAGTGCCACAATTTCACCTATTGCATACCTATGAGTGACTCAGGTTTTTCAAAAGCCCCAGCTCCATTGATTTCAGTTTTGTATAAAGCAATACATGCAGTATGTGCTTCATCACACAATAAAGATGAAACATAAACTGTAGTGCCAGAAAGGCTGAAAAAATATATTAGTATTTTTAAGTGCTTTAAGACTATTGCTCTTAATCCATTTTACAGACCTGGATTCAACTTTTAGACAGACCACTTCTTGATACTTAGGCTACCTACCGATCAAAGTTTGCAAAGTGTCTTCAGCTGCTAACATAAAAAACATGTTAATCAGAAGAAGGAATTCCTATTCATACTTGGAATATTTTTCTTCTTCCTAGCTTTAAAATTTTTCCTAATGACTTTCAATTTGACATTAAATATTTTCAGATTAAAGCAATAAAGAAAACTGATTAATAAATCCATACTACAGGACAGAAAGTTACTCCACTTACCAGACAATTTTGACTTCTATCTGATCTGGTACCACTAACTTGGCTTACTCTTTTCTCTACTTATAAAGAGCAAAATCAGTTTTCATC